GCCAGGATGGTGAGGCTCACAGTAACATCTGTCACTGTGAGCAGATACCCACAGAACAAAAAACTAATGAAGATCCCACTTCTCCAGTAAGGAGGCATCATTAGGGGTTGCTATTATAGAAGGGGTGAGTTAGCCGAAGCAGACAGCACAGCAGACACAGCCCCGGTAACAGACAGTCAGAAAAAAGTGTTTTCCCCAGCTCTCTCACCACCATTATGTTAAAAACACTCATTTCTGGATCCCACCATCAGAGATCTGACATAGTCAGTCTTGTGTAGACCTGATAAAAGTTATTTGTAAACCTGACCTGATGATTCGAATGTTCAGCCAGGACTGAAAAAAATGTTTGCTGAGATACTTCTCAATTTCCTCATTTGAAAAATGAGACGGGGGTGGGGTGTGTTCCCTGGTGGTGCAATGGGTTAAAAGTGCAGCGCTGTGAAACTACTGCCAGCCACTGCACGAGTTTGAGCCTCCGCCAGGAAGGTGATACACTGGGTGTGGCAGACCTCTCCTGTCCTGCCCTCTGTCCCCCTCAGCGGTGTATTTCAGTCAATCTGCCTGTCCTGCTCCCCACTCTGTCTCTGATGAATCCTCTCACCCCTCTGCACCTCTGGCCTGTATGCATAAAAAAAAATCTTTTATAAAAATAAGAAAGGGAATGAAATAATTAATAAAATGAGGATTCATGGGGATTGTCCCTAAATTCTCTCACAATAACTGTTATACATTCTCTGAATCTAAATGGGCAAAGATAGCAAATTCCCCAGGTCTGTCGTTTCAAAGGTGCTTGGCTTGGGAGTAAAGATCTGATTGAGGGTCTGAGTCATTGGAGTCCTTTCCTTGGGAAAGGTGATGGTTTGTTCACTATGTCTCATCACAGCAGAGCAGGACTTTGAATTAGTCCTCAGAGCCACACGAGATTCTGATGCCAGAAGTACAAGCTTAATGGTTGAGAACAGAAATTAGATCCTTAAAGATCTCTCATAATGACCGTGATTCATAGCCAGTGAAAAGAAAACAAAAGTGAAGGTATTCAAATGCATTTTCCTACCTCAAGGTCTTAATAAGTGTAATTTCTTGAATCAAAAATCACATTTTTATGCTATCTGACACATAGTTAATTATGTTGTAGTTGAATGCAACCAAATCATACTTCTCCCATGGGGCAAATGTGGTCTAGAAACTGGAGGAAACGGAGACAGTTTAGAGGAAGAGCAGCACCCCCAAGGAGGACCTCCCTCTCTGAGGCCGTCTCCCATGACCCTCCATCCAGAAGCAAGGCCTTGTGGAGAGAAGCCATTGGGTTAGAGTGCACACAAGCAAGCAACACACACACCAACAAGCTGCTGAAAATGTGCAGACCATGAAAGGACACAGCCAGAGTGCTCATCACATTCACAGACAAAATTGGGCCTAACAGACAAAGGTAAGAGAGGTCTCCTTCTCCCCGTGACTCCCTCACTCTGACTACCCATGCGGACCCAGGCGCACCCCGTCCAACGGAGATGCCCGGGACCCCTTCACACCGTCCTCAGCGCTCAGGCAGGGTCTCCAGAGGGGAAGGTCAGCCTGAAGAGCTGACGGAATGAAGCCTGAACCATCTGGATGAGCCACCCACTTTGGCCTCACAGAGAGCCTTAGCTCCTGGCACAGGAAAGGGTGGAGCTCCGGAGCTCTGCTCGCTCTCGCGAGTCCTGCTCCATCTCCCCTCCACGGTATGGGCTTCTCGGACGTGTCCGTCTCTGTCCTTCTGCGGGAGGAGTGTGACTGTCCCGAGGCACTGAGCAGAATGAGCCACAGCTTGGGACCTGTTTTTGAGATATTTAATATCCATGTTTCTGTTTTTCTGTTTTTTATCTCCGGGCTCAAAGGCTACTGCCCCGTCTTCTAGCACTGAGACTTTAAATCAGTAGACTCTATTCCTATTTTAGGTAGATATTATCAGAGTTAATCTGAGTGAATTCAGTTGGTGTGAGAGAATTGCTTGGTCTGTGGGAGAAATACACATCGAATTGGTGTCAAATTTTTAACTAAAACATAAGAATAAGTTTTAAAAAATGTGTTAGGATGTAGGTTAAAAAAAAGAGAGAAAGCAACTGTGTTTCTTCGCTGGTATATTACTAGCACATAGCAAGGTATGTGTCACTAGGCATCTAATAAATGTATTTCACTAGCTGAGCCGTTGGGAAAAAGAGAATTGAATCATAATGATGTGACCATAGGGTATGCTATTATGACTTAATGTGATTCCAAAGCAGTAAGATCTAAAATATTTATGTATGCTTACATGTGTGTCTGGATTCAGCTAATTTGTATGAGATGGTGATAGTGGAAAAAAAAAAGATACTGCCCAGCAAGCACCAGGGCGCCCCCTGCCGGCCAGTGAGAAGGCTGCGCCTCTCCATGAGCAGGAGGTGGAGCCTCGAGGGCAATGCAGTGAAAGGTCTTGATAAAGACCCCACGTTTCGGGGGGCATGTTAGGTCTCCCCTTCTTCTCCAAGCTGTTTCCCCTTCCTTACTCCTATCCCGCTCAACACCCACTACACCCCACGTAGCCACCAGTTTCTTCCCTGTAAACATGTGAAGCCCACACTGCTCCAGACAGCCCCAAACAGGAGACTGGCCTGGGGTCCACAAGGTGGACTTTAGTCCTACCCGACCCAATCCAGGCTGCGCATTAAGTAAACCATGAGCTACCATGGTTGCAATAGATTTCCAGAGGCACAGGAGCTGGGTGACAGGTGTCTCACCGTAACCAGCTAGAAGAATTTTTCGTGCTGGAAAACCAGGAGGCGTGCCTGAAACAGAAAGAGAAGGAAGCCTCTATTTCAGCCGGGGTCTCCACAGCCCTGGCCACCTGCCCACATTACACCCCAGGCCAGAGTGTCAAAATGAGCATGCGGCAGGTCTAGCTACATGACAGCTTACTGTGTAGGTAAAGGTTATGTAAAGGAACTAAAGGGGGCACAAAACCTCAAAACTGTTTGAGGGGAAAACATAGAAACATATTTCATGGCATCATATTCTTTCCTCCAAGTAGAGGAGACAGAATTGAGTTAAGCAGTGGGACACCCAGCCGGGGTCACAGACAATGTCTGCTGTGGGGAAGCCCCTCACATATCTGGTGTCACCAGTGTCCGGAGAACGGAAGTTGTGTGACAGTGAAGGAGAACAAGATAGAGTGGGCATGTCCAACTCAGTTCTATAAAGTATTTAGACCACTTGTCAAAATTCATTTAAGTAAAGCTAGGGTTTGGGGCCTGGGAATTGGAGATGTTTAAAGACCCCAGGGGACTGTAACCGGCAGCCTAAATTAGGTCAGGGAGACAAACTCCAGCCTGGGACTGAGGCCTGAGACCTGTCTGGTGCTGCCTGGGCAGTGCGGGCTTCACATGCTTAAGGGAAGAGAGGAAGAGGGTGGGGGTAACAGCATTGAGTAGGAGAAGGGGAGACCGCACTCGCCCCACACACATCAGCAATTTATTTCAGAAACAAATTGTTGCTCTGGCCTACAAGACTATTTAGAGGACCACTCAGTGTCAAATTTCTCAAAAGAGCTTCCAGAGACATTTTAGTCACAGAAGGCAGTATTAGTGTCAGAACTGTGCATAAACTGGCCGGTGGGGTCCATGCTCTGGCCCACACCTGGGGACCCCCTCACGTCCACAGCACCAGGCTCCTGGGTCCCCCTGTGGTGACTGGGTCTGCCAGGACAGGGCCTGGGTGAGGCCACCTTGTGTGTCCCCTTTGAAGCTTCCCTGGTCCAACGTCTCCCTCCCTGCACAGCTGCATATATGTCATTTCTTGATTCGCAGTCAAAAATTGCTGAGTCATGACCACGTGACAGGCTGCTCTTGGATCTCACCCATTTAAGGACAACACAGGGTCTGTGTCTCATTCATGTAGAGCCTCGTGGGGGAAATACACGCTGACCGAATAATCACCCATCTGATGTGCGGTTAAAGACTGAAAGCATGCCAGGAGGCCATGAGAGGGCTAACAAGGGCGAGAGTGTGGGTCACTCGGTGGACGACAGCTGTTATAGTCAGATTACAGATGAAGAATCTGAGGACCAGAAAGAAACTCGCCCAAAGGACAAGCCCAGAAGGACAGCCCCATGGGCCCTAACTTGATCTGGCCGAATTACAAACTTTCCCCTCATTTATGCCAAAATATCCCAAAGGAGGGGAATTTTACACACAAATCAGGGAGGGCTGTTGGCCAGGCCTGGGGCAACTGTTCTCACCATGGAGAACTGTTCTGTCTTCCCCAGTGCTCGTGTCCTCACACACTGGCCAGAGCCTGGGAATCAGCCTGGCTACACCTCAGACCAGCAGCTACTGCTCAGCATCTGGACTCGCCCCCAGGCCCAGCTGTGCTTCTGTCCAAGGTGCTCCAGGGATCCTGAGTGTCCATCTCCAGGTAGAGTGAGGTGGGGGAGTTCGGGGCGGTATGCAACACCACAGTTAATCTCGGACAAGGTCACCTCTCTCTAGCTATGAGTTACCAAACACAACCCCCACCTAGGCACGGTTCCACAACTACTTCTATGCAAAACAGCCCACAATGAAAAACTTCCCCTTGAAGCCCGGGTAATATAACAGCTTCAAGTGCAACACTGTGAAGTTAGGAGCAGCTGCTTCGGAGGGAATTCAATACCTGGCCAGGAAGTCACCCACATGGCTCGGCAGACCTCTCTTGACCCGCCCACTGCCCCCCTCAGCAGTGTACTTCTTCAGTCTGCCTGTTCCGCTCCCCACTCTGTCTCTGGTGAAGCCTCTCACTGCCCCACACCTCTCACCTATACCCCATTCTGCATGTATAAGCAAATAAATATATTTTTTAATTCAGCTGTCATCTAAGACTCCCCAGGAAAGGAGTCTCTGAGGTCCTGAGAACTCAAAGGAGCAGGCACCTGACTCCTCCCTGTGCTGCCCAGATCCCTGGTCCCAGCCCCTGCAGGGAAGCATCACACAGACACCCCCAGAGGGGGCAACTTGAGGTTGCAAGTGCATTTTATTGAAAGAAGCAGTGGGGGAATTAACATGGGGACAGGAAGCTGGGTCTCACCCCAAGGCCACGGGCACAAGCCTCAGGCTGGGATGCTGGCTAGGGAGGCCAGGAGCCAACCTGGATTTTGCCTTCAGGGTGAAGGGAAGAGATGAGAGAGGAGGGGCCACAGCCAACAGGGCAGGAGGCTACGGGTGGGGCTGGGGGGTCTCTATCCAGGCTCTGCAGGAGACCTACATGGAATCATCAAAGTGGACGGGCCAAACCCCGGTTGGATCACAGGCAATGATGATGTACTTCCTGCTGTTGGTGGTCTGGTAGTTAATGGGGTTCCTGCCTGTTATACTACAATCTGAGATGCTCATTCTATTCCTACTCTTGTGGCAGTTTGTCTGTCCGTTTTTGCAGGTGTAGTTTCTCTCCTTGCAGACGTCCTTGACATCGTCAGGGGACTCATGCACAAAGGTGTTGAAGTTCCGGTTTAAAAGATTCCTTCGGTTCATTGTCCTGTTGCAGTAGAGGGGGCCGAAAGGGCCGGATCCGGGATCCATGTGCCTGTTCTGGAACGTGTAGAAAGCAGAAGGCTGGGCGCCCACGATCACCAGCAGCCCCAGGACCAGCAGGGAGAACAGGACAAGGGTCTTCAGAGCCATGGTGGCCTCGCTTCCCTGGGGGCCGCCTGGGAAAGGAGAAGGAAGAAAAGCTGCCCCTTAGGAGAGGACCCCACTCCCACCCAATGGCTCCCATTCCTGGGTTCTTCTTAGGTTATAAGACAGTCACCTCTTCCTGTGAGAGCTGCCAGTCTTCAGACACTATATGTCCTCAAGAGTGTTTACTCCTGCTGACTAGAGAAACTCCATGTTCCCCTTATGGGTGACACCAAAGTGACCCATCCCAGGCAGGCCTGTCTGTGCTACTGAGGTGCTGTGATGTGAAATACAGGTGTACGCCGGGCTCAGCCGCCTTCTTAGAGGACCCTGTCACATACACCCTGGCTGCCTTGACACTGAGGCCCAGGCTGACGGGCCCTGCTGTCCCCTGCCCAAGGGACACTCTGCCCAGGGGCTGACACTGGCCTCAGGGAGACGCCATGTGCTCCCCAGGGAGATGCTCGCCCTCCCACCCCAGAGCGGCTCCTGTCCAGCCCCCAAGGCCCCCTTTGCAGCTGCCAGCTCTACCCGCCCGACTCTGCCTGGCCCAAGCTGCCTCAGCGCTGGCCTCTCCCCTCCTGCTCTTCCTCTCCACCCTCAACAGAAGCAGCTCAGAGACCCCCAGTGGGCACTCACCTGGGCGTCTAGCTTGGTCTCTGGAGGAGAGAGGAGGCCAGTTTCTGCAATTCCAGAGTCCCTGGGGTGCAGACTTAAAGAGACTACAAGAGGTGTGGCTCAGGAAGAGTGGGAGGAGCCTCAGGGGTTCAGTCCAGAGGAAGTGGAGGTTTCTTGAGAAGGGAGAATGTGGCCAGGCTTCCCCCAGCTGGGAGAGGCCCCTCTTCCCATGTGGAGTCAGCTGTTTGCTGGTCACCATGATACTTGATGCCAGAACCCCAACTACTCCTGATTTTTTTTTTCAGGCGACTTGCAAGGAATGGCCCTTGGAGTTTAACAAGGGGCATGTGACCTGTGATCTCAGGGCAGGGAGGGTAGAAGCCCTCTCTCTGCCCAGGATCCTGAGCTGCCTGGGCTGGAACCCACATCTGCCAGTAGTAGTTTTCCTGGACCAGAGGGATGGGAAGAGGGGTGTCCAGTTCCCAGTTATGGAGAAGAAGGGTGGGGGACCTGCTTGAGCCAGGACAAAAAGGAGCCTCTCTTTAGCCTTGGTCTCCCCAGTGCTGGCCATTTCCTGTTCACCTTCAGACCCACTTCGGAGACTTGAAAATGAGCCTGTACAGGCAGGTTTTTCTGTAGTGACAATTTGTCGTCTGGGTAAAGGTTATGTCGAAGAACTAAGGATAGAACAAAACCTAAATACCTTTTGAAGAAAATATAGACAGCATCATATTTCTTCCAAATGAGGAAGAGATGGTTTTATTTTTGTTTTTCTTTCTATTAAGTGACAATTTAAATATCCCTGGCATAAATATTATATAAATATTCTTCCCTGCTCTGCGTATAGATAATTTCCATTTAAACTATGATTAAAACAGGACAAATTATAGAGTTTATTTCCCTCTTCCTCGGTTGCCTCACGTCTCAGATGGGGATGTTTATTTGAGACTGTTAAATCTGTTACTTGGACAAAATAAAGCAAAACACAGTTTGGAGCATTGCTAGAAAGCATGAATAAATGTGAACTCTGTGACTGTTGCTTTGGGGGTGCAAAAATCTCCCTGAGACATGGGTGACCCTCCAGTGGTCTGTGCTCTGTGAGATGCTGTCTACACAGGTGCAGTCTGGGCACCACCTTGCAGGCTGTGCTCAAACCCTGGGCTGAAATCAGCAGGAACTTTTGAAGCTCGGGTGGAAAAGAGAGAGAGACTTGCTGGGAAGATCAGGATGCTTTAAACGGTTAGATTTGAATCATTTGAGACAATACCCAAGCAAACTATAACAGTAAAATCACGTCCTATGTGTTTATATTTGGACACGCTGGGCCCAGGACCGCCTGCATATGAGATTTAGTTAAAAATCCAGGAGCTGGATTCCCATCAGAAGCACCCACGGGGGCGACACAGACCAGGCCTTGATAGGACCCAGGAGCAGACGATGACACAGCAGTGACGTCCACGACTCCTCAGCTCTGTCTCCTCTTGTCCAGAGCACCCAGACCTGCTGGTTTTCTGTTGTCAAGTGGGGTTTTTAGGGCTCACTGGGAGTAAAGAGGTGGATACGGGTAGGGTGAGGCAGGGGGTTCTGGGCAGGCTTCACAGGAAAGCGTATGTTGGGAGGGAATGCTAACAATAAACTTTTCTCATTAAGGAGTAAGACAGAGCAATTCAGACAGAAAAAATTCTAGAAGTAGAGACACATGACATGAACTGTGTTTCCAAAATTCTAAGTTTCCCCATGTCACTGAGAGCAGGTGAATCATTTAGGCCAAGGTAGAAGTATCTTAAAGATCATTTCAAAAACATCCATAGGTAAAAGATGGACAGTGACCTTGACCTTAAGCAATGAAAGTGTCACCAGTGAAGGACCTTCCTCCAGAGCCCCTACTGCAGGGGGAGGCTGAGGCAGCCATTCGTTGGAATTGTGTCACTCACTTGACTTCCAGATCCTCTTTTCTCCTGGTGTTCGTCCCAATGACAAGAAACAAAACAATGCCATTCCCACAGGACAGATCTTGACATCCCACATACATGGGGAAGTGAGTGGACCCCAGCCGTTTCCAATGGAGAGTTCAAGATTCATATTTACTTCAGTGGGCCTTTTATAGGTCACTAAGTCCAGGCCTCTGGCTGACCTGCTTTGAGTTTGGGAATAAAAAACACCTCCCTTCGTCATACAACCTTGTAGTAGACCCCAAAGAGGAAAATATGAGTAATATCTAGTGTTCTCAGAACTTCAGAACCTGGGCTGAAGATCACGTTTCTGGCTGAAGAGTGGAATTTTGAGCCAGTTGCATGAAATTGCTTGTGGTAGTAGTTACACAACCCTAAGGGACAAGTTAGGGGTTATTTCTTAACTTGTAACGGCATCACACCATTTCCACTGTTACATTTCTAGATATCCTACCCATCTCGGTTTAACGATAAGCCACTAACTAGGAGCCACGTGACAGGAGACAGCTCTAGATTCTGAGACCTCCAGCATCACCAGCTACTCCCAGAGCACAGTCGACCCCTTTTCCTCTCCACAAATGTCCCCTTCTCTCCCTTCTTGGTACACATATGAGGAGACTCTGCTCAGGAGATTCATATCCTCACTAAACTGCTCAATTGACTTTCATCTTCAGGAAAGAAACAGGGGAAAACCCAGAGGCCACTCTGGATGCTCAGATTCTTAGAAGCCAGAATCACAGTGACATATTGATTAAAGACTTGCTAAGATTCAGAATATGTTCATTTACTTTCAAGAATAGAAAGATGCTTCTCTAACATGATAAAGGTGTCTAGATCTCCATGACTACTGGATTCTTTGGTGACAAAATCTAAAATGTTGGGGCAGTTCCCTCTGTGCTCTGTGACCAACCATCAGGTCTACTACAAAAAAGAGCAGAAAGGGCATTAAATACTGACCAACATTTATCTATCTATATATTTATTTTCAAGGTAGAAGCAGCTAATGATGCCAGCAATGTGATACTGTTTTAAAAGAAAGACTTAGGCAAATTAATGAGATATGAAGGAAATGGCTAAGAATTTGAACACAAAGAAACTACCATAGCATAATTTTTAAGTATTTTTTTTAAGTAGGGGGAATCAGATTTATTTAAGTTTTTTAGAATAATAGTAGGAGTTTATAAATAGAAATAAATGTGTATTTGTTTGCATATAGATCTAAATTTAAAATAGTTACATTTAGGTAATTTACAATTAGCATTGTTACAAACACACACATTCACACACCTCATTTGATTATATTATAAAAATAACATGTTTTGACTTTGGTCATGGCACATGATTGATTTGGTGACGGGAAGCCCCAGGCGATTACATCTGAGATGGGGGGGGAGTAACATATTTTGAATCTTGTTCATGTTTGAAAAGAAGCAACATGAGGACAACAACAGAAATTGCTTCCTGGTGTGGTGATTTATTATATTCTAGTATTTATCTTGGTTCATTCACTGCACATTTTGCCCCCCGTTCTCTGAATTTGTTGGATCGAAAGGCAGTTTTTACCTAGGAGGAAAAAAAAAGTGAGTAAAAACAGAATCATCAATTACCCAAATATAACCCAAAATGATAACTCTTTCACATCTAAAAGAAATCACAATTGGCTACTTCCTAAAATACAGGAGTCAGCTGAACCAATGTACTCTAAAGAAGACAGATTTGGTGGGCACAGAGTTTGAGAGTCAGAGAGGACTGGACTACTGAAATGTTGGTGGACACCAGGCAGTAACAGGGATCACAGGTGAGATATTTGGGTCCAGTCACTGCAGTCAGTGGGCTCACGGGCAGTTCTGCCTCTTTGGACCTTGTTTCAACATTTAATTACTGACACTCCTTGCCCAACCCCAATCTGAGGCACACATTTTTAAATGTATCTGACAAAGTTTTCTAAAAAGTTTAGTAGTGGGTCCCCCCTACCCCCCTCCACAATGCCCTCGGGCTCAAGTCTCAGCATAGTCACCACTGTGGCCTGAGTGTGATCCCGGCCAGGGAGCTGACCACCGGGCTCAGCCGACCCCGCCTGTCTCGTCTGCTGCTTCCCTCCGCCGTGGATTTCAGGATGTCACCCTTTTCTGCTGCCTGCTTTGTCTCTGGTGACTCTTGCTGATACAAAGAGTGGTCTGTACCTCGCAGTCAATAAAAGGAAACAGTTTGAGGGAAAGGAAAGTGGTTTAACTTGTTGACAAATGAGGGCAGCAGACTCCTGTCTGAAAGACCACTGTCCTGCTCTTTGGCAGAGGGCAGCGTTATTTAAACACAGGGGAATCAAAGGGGGGCGGTGAGTAAGGGTCTGCAAATGGGAGCAGGGGAGGGTCAGCAGGGAGACAGGGGGGCACCAGCTTGCTTTTTACAACGTCTTCCTGAAGATGAAGTAGTTGGGGTGACAACTGCTGTTGTCCTTGTTTTCCTTGGAATAAGAGAAGGCAAACCTGTGAAACAAGTGGAAAAAAATGGCAAGAAATAGGGGAAAGACAAACCTGTTCATGCTTATCTGAGAGACTGGTCATTTGTAACTGTATTATTACCACTACCCCACTGCCACCTCTGGCTTAAACTCAAGTTCTTTTATGCAAAAATAAATGAATAAATAAACACATTTAAGCTAAAATACACAATAAGAAAGAGATTCACATAAGACTCTCACAGTAGTCCTTTGACTCAGGGTAACACAGGCTTCTGTGTTCGCGTCCAAACCAAAAGGTTTTCGAGTCTTATCAGACACCTCAGTAAACACCCAAAACACAAGAAATTCCTCCTGCTCCAGCCTCGGTGACTCCTCAGCACCTCGACTCCACTCGGCTTCCCAAGCACAGTCGCTGGCAGAGTGACCAGCCCACATGTTGGGGTGATGCTCAGCCCCACAGCAGCCCCCCACCGCCCTGGAGACCGCCGGCCCGGGGAGCAAGGGGTGGCAGTTGAGCCTCTCAAGGAGGCAGCGCTGAGAAGCGGCTGTGGGAAAGGGGTAAAGGAGCTGCAGAGGGAGCCAGCCTCCCTCTGCCTGAGCACACGCGGCCACACAGCACTGGCAGCTGCCTGAGGTTCCAGCCCCGTGAAGACGCCC